TATCATCTCTGATTCCATAGTTGATTGAGCTAGGATTGTTTGTTTCTTTGACTTCCAAGACACAGCTCCACCAGCGATGTTAAAAACATATCCGCTGGTTGCCTTGGAGTCATCTGATAGGGTATTCCAATCCGCATCACTATACCCTTCTAGTACAGCGGGAAACCTTTGATAGTGTATACCAAGGTTTGCTGTTCTCTTGAGGTATCTCATGACCCTCTCTATAGCATTCCAATGCTCTCTACTAGGACAGCTGTTAAACCTGCCAAGCAATCCCACGACATATGCAATGTCTGGTCGAGTGTAATCCGCAGCATAACGGAGACTGCCAATGATGCTAGCATATTCCGATTGTCTTACACTGTCTCCAGTGTTCTTAAATAGCTTTACACTAGCATCATACGGAGTACATGCAGGTTTACAGTCGAAATAGTTATACTTCTTCAAGATCTTCTCTATGTAGCTAGATTGATCTAGAGAATAACCATTTGCTGTTCTAGTTATCTGGATTCCAAGCATAAACTTTGCTTCTCCCAGATCTTTCACCTCGAAGCTCTCTTTTAACATGGCTTTCGCTTCATTGACCACGTGAATATTTGTACCAAATATCAACATGTCATCTACATACAAACATATGATAGTGCAAGTGTTATTCTCTGACTTGCAGTAAATACACTTGTCACTTTCATTCACCTTAAAGCCATGTGAGAGAACGAGAGTGTCAAACTTCTCATGCCACTGTTTTGGAGCCTGTTTCAAACCATATAATGATTTGTCCAACTTACAGACTTTCGAGGCATGTTCAGGGATAACAAACCCTTCTGGTTGTTCCATATAGATTTCTTCATCTAGATCACCGTTCAAAAAGGCAGTCTTAACATCCATTTGGTGTACCACGAGATTGTTCAAGGCAGCAAGAGCAATCATGACACGAATGGATGTTATTCTAGATACTGGTGAGTAGGTGTCGAAGAAATCTATATTCTCTCTCTGCCTGTAGCCCTTGACTACTAGGCGAGCTCGGAACCTTTCGATTGCACCATCAGGTTTCCGTTTCGTTTTTAGAACCCATTTATTACCTAAGACTTTGCAGCCAGGAGGTAAGTCTGTTAGATGCCAAGTCTTATTAGCCTCTAACGATTCCATTTCATCTATAACGGCCTCATTCCAAAAGTCTGCATCTATGGAAGTTAATGCTTCCTGCAAACTTTTTGGATCCTCTAGGGTGTATACTGTAGTAAAGTCATCACCAAAATCTTTAGAGATTCTAGCTCGTTTACTTCTTCTGAGTTCATCCTCAGATCCAACACCCCCACTAGTTCCGTTATCTCTAATAGCGGGTAGTACATTACCCCCACTATTTCTCGTTTTAAATGGAAATCGTGTCTCAAAGAAATCAGCATCAATGGATTCTATTATAGTACGAGCATTCAAATCATAGAATCTATATGCCTTACTATTGACCGCATAGCCAACGAAGACACATTCATATGCTCGACTAGCCAACTTAACCCTCTTAGGATCCGGAATTCTTACGTAGGCCAAACAGCCCCACGTTCTTAAATAGGACAGATTAGGTGGCTTATTCTTCAAGATCTCATAGGGTGATTCTTTTCTATTTGTTTTTGGAAGACGATTTAGCACATAGCAAACCGTTAACAAAATATCACCCCACCAAGAAGAAGCAGCTCCAGAATTGAGCATAATAGCCACAACTAATTCTGTAAATGTCCTATTTTTCCGCTCAGCTTTACCATTCATCTCTGGTGAATATGGTGCCGTGGTTTCATGAATGATACCATGTGAGCTATAGAATTCCTTGAAGGGATTAGAGTCATACTCTGATCCTCTATCGCTCCTAAGTCTTTTTATCTTTCGATTGCACTGATTTTCGAATTCAACCACAAATACCTTGAACATGTCAAGGGCTTCACTTTTGTTTTTCATCAAATAAACAAAGCAATAATCAGAGCAATCATCTATGAAAGTGATAAAGTATCTCTTGCCAGACCTAGTTAACGTCCCATCTAGTTCACAAATATCAGAATGAATCAGATCTAAGGGTTCTGATTCTCTACTCACAGATTTATGGGGCGTTTTCGTTATTTTAGCTTGGCTACAGAAATCACATTTATCAAATTCATTCATTGAGAGTTTAGGGATATGTCCTAGCTTGCTTAAATTCTTCACTATTCGTGTGTTCACATGACAAAGACGAGCATGCCATACATTCAAATCACACACCATGTAAACGGAAGAATTCATCTTATTAATTTCGACATTCAACTTGAACATCCCATTACATGCATATCCCTTTCCCACAAAACTCCCATTCTTAGTAAGAGTATACAAGTCTGCCCCAATAGATTGATTAAACCCAGCCTTATTAAGAAGATATCCAGAAACAAGATTCTTTCTTATCTCTGGAGTGTGCAACACATCCTTGAGCACCATCTTCTTCCCAGAGGTGAAGTTCAGCTCCACTTCACCAGAACCAGCAACCATAGTGGTGTGAGTAGTCCCCAACAACACTTTCTTGTTAGCAGGTGCTTCTTCGTATGTTTTAAACATAGCACGATTGTTGCATACATGCTTCGATGCACCTGTATCCAGCCACCATCCTTCTGAGTCACCGGTGAGGTTAACTTCAGCGATCATCTCTGTGATCATGGCTACCAAATCCTCTTCTGTCAAGTTAACCCTGGCCGCAGCGGCGGGGTTAGGCTTGTTCCTGCACTTTTTTGCCATATGACCCGGTTTTCCGCAATTAAAGCAGATAAACGGTGGGTCATTCTTAGAGGTTTGGGCCATGACTCTTTGGTTACCTCGAGAGGCACCATTCTGATGGGGGCGGACCTGCTGGTTCTTACCCTTAAACCCTTTCTGGTTAGGTTTAAGAGCTCTAGGGGTGGGTCGTTTAGCAGTGACGACCATCACCTCTTCTTTCATATCCTGCTTGCGGGACTCTTCCTCAATCCTTAGGCGAGTAATCAAACTTTCCAGTGAAAATTCTTTGGTTTTATGTCTAAGCATATTCTTAAAATCTTTCCACGAAGGGGGCAGCTTATCAATAATGCAAGCAACTTGAAATTGATCGTCCAGAGGCATACCTTCAGAGACGATCTCGTGAGCTATTTTCTGAAGTTCGTGGGACTGAACTTCGACAGACTTGTCGTCCACCATCTGGTAGCGCAGGTAACGGCTGACAGCATACTTCTTAGCTCCAGCCTCCTCCGTGTCGTACTTCTTTTGGAGCGCATCCCAGACCATCATTGCGGTGTTCTTGCTGTCCGCATAGTAGTCGTAGAGGTCGTCTGCCAGGCCGTTGAGGATGTAGCCCTTGCATAGGAAGTCATGCTCCCTTTCCTTAGCAGCAGCAGTCCTCTCCTCATCGGTCGCTTCTTCCGGCAGCTCGACGGGCATGCTAGTGAGGCAGTGTGCCAACTTCTTGGTCGCCAGGTAAAACTCCATCTTTTGTTTCCAGCGACGAAAGTTGACTCCAACGAAGCGAAACGGTCGATTGATATCGACAGCACCAGATCCGGCCATGTTGTTCTGTTCAGTCGACATAGCAGCAGCCGAACGTCTTAAAATTGTTAAGAACGGAACAACAACAGGAACGAGGTTACCGAATCTGGAGCTGAGTCGCGGACTAGGTCGCTCTCTTTAAGACGTTCGCGGCACTGCCCTCGATGCGCACGGCAGACTATCAACCGGTCGTCTCCAGGATAAAACAGCTCCTCTCAATACTCGCGGTTTTGTGCGAAAACCTGAGCTCTATGAACACTCTCTCTTTGTGTTTATGCTCGTTGTTATGTGTTTAGAGGGGCTGGGGAGGCGGCTATTTATAGGAGCCGAACCCCTAGGAATATACCCTCTAGCTTGGGGAATAAGTCGGATTAATTAAGGAAGATAATTACTTCCTTAATTAAAACCGTCGGTTAGGATAAATCCTGCTGGGATTATCCTTCGAATATTCCTTTTCAATCGATTATCCCTAGAATATTCCTCAGAATAACCGATTAATAATTAATTATTAAATAATTAATTTCGTTCGGAATTTCTCTAAAAAATATGTATATAGTCTCAAGTGATCCATCCATCCATCCGACCAACCGACCGGCCGGCCGGACGAACGGCGCGCGCGCGCGTGTGTGTGTGGTGGTCCGTTAGGTCCTCCCTCTCCCACAAAAGTGGGTCACCCCAAGGGGCATGCCCTTAGGAGAGAGGCTCCTATCTTTATAATCACTTCACCAAGTAAAACTACCAATGTGGTAGTTTTTCCTTTTTCCACTTGAGACTCTATAGCTTTCAAAGCTATTCATACACATTTCCAACACAAACCGTATCTATGGTCTGGTCTGGACCGGACCGCACCGTTTCCCACCCCTACATACTCATACTATCTCATCCCCAAATCTCATTAACACTTCAAAAAATGAGGTTTATCCTTCCATGAGGATGAAGCGAAACCTGCAAGAAATTCGTCTAGGTAAGGGAAGACTTTGACTTTTCTATTCCATCACATTACAACGAATTCCATTATTCCACTCACGATCCAACCACGTCATCACCAGATTTGTCGCTAGTTGGCTACATGGTGGTATTAAATATCCCATGTGTTGGCCGAATAAAAGTGATTATTATAACTACCTGCTCCTGATCTTCATCATTCTACGTGCAAGATCCTTCGCAGCGGTAGTAACGCAGGGTCGTCGTGGGAGCCATGTTATTGAGAAAACCATTAATTAATAAATAAAGCACACAAAAGTCGTCTTATAACCCACTTATACATCACCATATATAGCTGAAGCAAAGACCAAGGAAACGGATAGAGTACCGGTACGTAGCTAGAGAGAGTGCAAGCAAAAGAAAAGAAGCATTTCATTGAGCAAAAAACAATGAAGGGTTTGTCACTCAACGTCCGAATCATTTCGGAAGAAACAATCAAGCCGTCTTCCCCAACGCCCCCGCACAACAGGATCCACAAGCTCTCTTGCATGGATCAATCCTCCCCTCCCGGCTACATGCCCACCTTCTTCTTCTACGGTCCTAAACACGACCCCAAACCCTCCTCCCAAAACGACGTCGTCGACAAGCTCAAATCCACCCTCTCAACCACCCTCACCCACTACTACCCTCTCGCGGGGCGCTACGGAAACGACGGCGTTTCCATCGACTGCAACGACCGAGGCGCCACCTTCGTGGTCGCCCACGTGGCACACGACATGTCGTCCTCCGTCCTCGAGGCGCCAGACGAGGATCGTCTCGTGCAGCTCCTCCCCTGCCCCCCTCAGGAGAAATGCCTCGACGACGACGACGGGAAACTCATTCTCCTGACAGTTCGAGTCAACTTCTTCGACTGCGGCGGGATCGCCATCGCAGCGTGTGCATTCCACGGCGTCGCTGACGCGTCGTCCCTCTCCTGCTTCCTCCAGTCGTGGGCCGCCATCTGTCGCGGCGACACCGCGGTCAACGACCTCTTGAAAGGCGCCGTCGTCGACTACAGCTCCCTCTTCCCGTCCCAGGACCTCCCTCCCCAACCGAAAACCGTCGACGAGGAGGGCACCGACGTGGAACCGAAACGCGCGGTGGTGGCGAAACGTTTCCTCTTCCCCGGTTCAAAGATCGCGGAGCTGAGGGAGAAGATCGGGTGCTTCCGTGGCAGGCAGAGGACACGTGTCGAGGCGATGTCGTCGCTGATGTGGGCCGCGTCCATACGCGTCTCGCAGCAGAAGAAGAAGGAGGCGACAAAAGAAGGAGAAGGTGGTAATAACAAAGGGTTGCATTCGGCGGTGATGGTGGTGAACTTGCGGACGAGGACGAGCCCGCCTTTGCCGGCGATGTGTATGGGGAACCTCATCCAGCTGACGGAGCCGGTGACGTGGCCGGTGGAGGAGGAGGTGACGGCGGAGGAAGGGATGGGGGAGCTGGCGGGGAAGTTGAGCGGGGCGGTGAGGAGGATCAACCACGAGTACTTGAAGAAGCTGCACGAGAACGAGTCGGAGGGTTATTTCGGGCTGAACAAATCTTTCGGGGAAGAGTACGCGAAGGACGATTTCATAATGATAAGCAGCTCGTGCAGGTATCCGACGTACGGGGCGGACTTCGGGTGGGGGAAGCCCGTTTCGGTGAACGGGTTTGCCCCGAATAATAAGATGGTGGTGCTGTTGGATGCCAAGGATGGGGAAGGGATTGAGGCTTGGGTGACGTTGTATGAGGATGATATGGCCGTATTCGAGAAGGATTCCGATCTGCTTTACTATGCTAGCTAGTTAAATTAATTCTTTTCCCTTCATTTTCTCTGCGGGTTACTGTGATTTTCTGTTGTGTGCATCGTCCGTATTCTATAGATTGCAAAGGAAGAGAAAGAAATCATGGTGGTTTTGTGATATATGTTCAACTGGATAATTATGTACGCTTTCATAAGATGAACTCTTCTTTCTTTCTTTCTTTCTTTCTTTCTTTCTTTCTTTCTTTCTTTCTTTCCATGTTATTAAGTATCCATTTGATGCATGTGATAATTAATATTTTCCATTAATCTCCATCTTTGGAGGATTGATTAGTGTACTATACAAGCGAGAGATGGAGACTTAATTTTGTTGGACAACGTACGTACAACACCTCCAGAGCTTCACAGTATGGTTTTTCTTACAAATAAGTTAATTTCGATATTATTGGACTACCCCACACAGATTATAAGAACGAGATACAAAGGATTTATATGTGGCTTCCACGCTCAGTACGAACGAGACTACTCTACGTGGAGACGAATCTTTCGATAAGATGGTTATTGATGATGTTACGCATGTTGCTTGTGAGATATGACTTATTGTCCAAAAAGATAACATCTCTCGCCCTTGTTTCCTTCGACTCTAAAACATAAGTGGCGAACTCCAATATGATGCTCAATACAAATTAAAACCAACAATCACATTTTAACATCCCCTTCAAACCAAAGCATAAAAATCATGAATGTGCAATGATGGTCTTTTTCTAGTGCCACTAGCTAAGGCAAGTTTACCTATCGTTAGAATCAATACAGTGGCAAGCAAAGTCGTATCATACACAAACTATGTACTACTAGTACTTAGCAAGGTTGTTTGAAGCAATACAATAGGCATATTTGCCACCTTTTGCAGATTCAGTGAAGATGTTGTAAGTATGGGTAGTGGGATGACTGATGGCACTTTATTTATAATGTTTATTACTCCCATTTTTAATACATTTCCTCTTCTATTGAAGCATCTTTTCATTTGAATGGTGTTTCTTGTCTAAATTATAACTATTTGATTAATAAACTTTTAATAGATCTAGACGATGTTCTTATACTATTTGATGCCTTCTTGGTATACTTTTGATGATTTTGAAGGTACAAAGCAATCTAAGGAAGATTGGATCAAGCACTAAAGAACTCTAGAGGACCAAATAAGCTATAAAGAGAAGATTAAGGAGTTTTCACGATAAAAAGTAGTCCAATGACGGAGAAGTCAACAACAAGTTGCTAGAATATGTCAAGACGAGCCCATAGGAGAAAGAATCATCCCAATATGAAGAATGGATGAGCGTAAACCCAAGTAAAGGGTCCAACCGCCCCCTCCTCTCAAGTTGCAGCCCAAATCATCATGAACAGAAGTCCATGGATCAAGAAACCCAACCCATGAATGAAGAAACAGAGCAATGTGTCCAACTTATGCCCTACCGTTGTCTCCCTTTGCCTTGTTAACGGAGTTTTCTAAGTCTACTAGGTTTAGGAGATTATTTCCTTGTCGATTAGATTGTTTAAGGTTGGATTCTCACCAATAAACAGAGGACATGATTCCATTGTAAGAGTAAGGCTACACAAACACACAAATCTCTATAACACTTGACACAAGTGCTTAGCCTAGTCGAAGTAGGGAGCCTGCAACTAAGAAGATGATGTTGTCATAAATGGTGGTACCTTCCTTCTCCTCTATGTTGATAGTCGAAATTGTTTGTATTAGGATGTGATTTTTATTATTGTTATGTGAATGAATGCTATGATTTCATCTCTTGCTTGTGTTTATCTATGAAGATTTCGATGTCTCTGATTATGTATGAATGCTTTATTGTATTCGATGCTAATGATGGTCATTGATGTTTTGTTTCTATAGTATGGATGTTCTTATACCATCGATACTTACGATTCTATTATCTTTTACTATATGCATCGTGCTTAGTATTGCTTAGATTATCAAGAAATTACCTTCTAGCAATACCCCATTGATGCTACACGAGTTGAGATGGATTGATCACCCATCTATGCTTCGAGTAGTATCAATACTTGATTGTTAGAAGATCACTACTAAAGACTGTAGTTGTGGTTCATAGAAACCCACAATTAACTATATATATATGTTATCGGAACTTTCTTGTTCTTCATTAATTAGATAATGACATGAAGAGAAAGCACACATTGGCTAGTTAAATCTCTATCGAATGAGGCGCATGTATGAGTAGAAAGTGGCCTTAGAGGAAGGGATAGGGTGTTACAATAGGTGAATCATCGATGCATGATGTAAATGAGCCCTACTTTGCGTGATTGTCTTTGAGTTCACTACCTATTACAATAACGTATCTTTACTTTCATGCATCTATAAATAAAAAACCCCTTAATAACTTTATTCTTCTTGCTTTGCTTGTTTGTCTAATGGAAAACCCTTGAATGTCTTTATGCGTTTCCAATTGTTGGACTCATAGAAATTTTTTTATGGTTAATAAAAAATTCATTAAACTCTAGAACCCTTGTAACTAAGGGTTCTCTCAAGTGTACAGTTTTGAACCATTACAATCAACCATCAAAAGAACAATTTATGCACTATACTGCAACTAGCACTATACTGCAAATAGTACTATACTAACAGAAACTAGGCAAAACAGTACAAGTATCAACTCTACTTTGAATAAAAAACCGTGCTTCTGATAGAATTCTAGCCACCAGCTGAGGAGGATGTTGCAAACCACTTCCATAGCACTTGCGACATCGTTCCTTTCAAATATGACTCATAACCGTACTCCAAAGCAACTTGCCTAACTTCAAACTCATGCTGGAACCACTCCAAGTTTGTATCGCCCAATTAACAGTAGACTATCACGTTGGGAGAATAGGGGGCAGGAGGAAGTCAATTAAGCACTGCTGCAAAACAAAAACAATATAGGAGAAAGTGCTAAACAGATGATCACGAGTTTCCAATCCACCTGGACAAAGCACACAAGCCACCTCTGCTGTTTTCCCCCAAGCTGCAAGCTTATCACGGGTGTATATTCTATCCAACATGATTAGCCACATGATCAGACTATGTTTAGGAATAGAAAACTTTCCCCAAACAAGTTCAGACCAAGGAACTAAAGATAATGGAGAACGGATAGAAAGCCAAACCTTCTTAACTGAATATATGTTCATAGGTTGGCTTGGCCATTTTATTGAAGTGCCAACACCCGTAATAAAGGGATGAGCCTCCTCTCTTGCCTTCAAAATGCGCTTCCAGACCCAAGAACCAACCGAGGTGGGGGATACCTCCCAGATTGTTTTGGTTCTGAGCCACCCAAACCACCCAGAGAGAGCCACTGCCTGCTAGAACGTCCCATAAGTGCCTGATACACATGCCTTGTTCTATACCCGAAAATGCTTAACTCCCAACCCACCTTCTGATTTAAGTGCTACAACATGATCCCAGAATACTAAACCCCTTACTCGAGTTCTCCCATTACCTACACCCCACAAGAAATTGTTGCAGATAGTCTCAATATCTTTAAGAACATTCTGTGGGAGAAGGAAGACATTCATCCAATATTGGAAAACACTCGAGATGACTAAAGTAACCAATTGTAGGCGGCCTGCATAGCTTAAAGATTTTGAATTCCATCCTCTGATCCTAGTTGTAATCTTCTCAAGTAAAGTGTGACAATCCAATTTGGAAAGCTTACCACCTAGGAGAGGCAGTCCTAGGTATCTCACTGGAAACTGGCTAAGAGGGAACCCTGTGGAGGCTGCAATGATCTGTTGATCTTCGTCTAAAACCCCACTAAAGAAAATCTGGTTTTTCTCTGGATTGCACTTCAACCCCGACAAGGTAGAAAATTCATTCAGGGCACACTTAATTCCTTCCACAGCCTCCACTAAACCATTTGAAAAAACAAGCAGATCATTTGCGAAGATAAGGTGTGAAATATTAAGTGATTTGCAACGTGGGTGATATGGGATACTGCCCGCCGACATAGCTTTAGACAGCAGATATGAAAATACCTCCATGGAAATCACAAAAAGGGGGAAAGTGGATCCCCTTGCCGAAGCCCCTTACCACCCGGGAAATAACCACATAAGCCACCATTCATACACACACTGAACATAGGTGAGGTCACACAAACTGTAACTCTGTGAACAAACTATTCTGGAATTCCAATGACAATCATGACAGAAAACAAAAATGTCCAATTTACTGAATCAAAAGTCTTCATCAAGTCGATCTTGACCACACACATGGGGGCAATAGATGATTTATTGTGGTCTTTAACTAATTCTGAGGCCATTAGAATATTATCACAAATTAATCTACCTTTGATAAAGGCAGACTGTGCATTTTTAATCAATATGGGTAGGTATTTGGACAGTCTGTTGGCTAACACCTTAGTAATACCTTTGTAGAGCACATTACAACATCATATTGGGCGAAATTACTTCATTCTTTCTGCATTAGCTGTTTTGGAAATCAAACTAAGAATTGTAGAGTTAATCTTCCTAGGTAAACTACCTGTTTCAAAGAAGTTCAGTATAACATTCTCTACATCCTTGCCCACAATACTCCAATCAGCCTTGTAAAAATAAGCAGGATAGCCATCTGGGCCTGGTGCCTTGTCTGATGCCATAGACATGAAAATAGACTTAATCTCCCCACGAGTCACCCCCTCTGCAAATCACTAACTCCCTCTGATGACAATTTAGTTCTGAGCTAGTAGCCCTTCATAAAAGCTCACTGGTTTCTCTAGTAATTCCATATTGGAATCACCAAGTAATTTCATGTAGAAATCAACATCAACTTCTCTCAGCTGCTTTACCTCAGTAACCCCCAAACCATCTTCAGAAACTAAAGGATCAATAGTCTGCTTCTTGTTGTGGATTCTCACATAGTTATGAAAGAAGAAGGTATTAGAGTTCCCTCCCAAGACCCAATACATTCGAGACTTTTGTCTGAAAAAACTCTCCTCTGAAGCCCGAGCTTCAAAGCAAGCCTGAGCCAGATGTCTCTCCCTATCT